AAGAGTTCAAGAGTAAGTCTTCTCTTTCAAGATGGCGTAAGGGATTTTGGGTTCTGTCAACGCTGAAAACCGAGAATTGAGCAACTCTAGTCCAAATATGGTAGCAATAGTTTATTTTTTGGTTTAATCTGGATATCAGAAAGGTAAATAAACCCTGGGGAGGTGAATAAACTCTTGGGGAGGTAAATAAACTGTGGGTAGGTAAACAAACTCTTGGGGAGGTAAATAAACTCTTGGGGAGGTAAATAAACTCTTAGGAGGTAAATAAAATCTTGCTGAGGTAAATAAACTGTGGGGAGGTAAATAAACACTTGGGGAGATAAATAAACTCTTGGGGAGGTAAATAAACTCTTAGGAGGTAAATAAACTCTTGGGGAGGTAAATAAACTGTGGGGAAGCAAATAAACTCTTGTGGAAGTAAATAAACTGTGGGGAGGTAAATAAACTCTTGGGGAGGTAAATAAACTCTTGTGGGGGTAAATAAACTCTTAGGGGTAAATAAACTCTTGGGGAGGTAAATAAACTGTGGGGAAGCAAATAAACTCTTGTGGAAGTAAATAAACTGTGGGGAGGTAAATAAACTGTGGGGAGGTAAATAAACTGTGGGGAGGTACATAAACTCTTGGGGAGGTAAATAAACTCCAGCATTAACTGTCATCTGTGGAGTTGAGATTAAACGTTCCTCTTCTTAATATATTCATTTTATAAGAATAATTGTATTTAAATTTGATGAGAGGAAGTTGTGGAGAGCCATGATCGTTCATAACCTGAAAGGACACAGCACATAAGAGAACAAAAATTTCTAAATCAATGCATGTTTCACTGCAGTGAAGACGTTAAAATTTCCTTTTTTTTATTTTATAGTCCATTTGGTGATGTAAGATAATCAAGATTTTTAATAAAAAAAATTTCGAATGACCTAAAAAGGTTTAAACAATTTACTAAGATAGTCAAAAAGCACGTTGGTTTTTACTCTTTTTCCACCTTCATAAATGTTTTTCTTTCTTTCTTTCTTTCTTTCTTTCTCCACCCTCCATAAATATCTCAACCTTTCTTTCTTTGTCTTATATTTTCCCTTTTTCTCACCTTTCTTTCTTTCTTTCTTTCTTTCTTTCTTTCTTTCTCACCCCTCCTAAATGTCTCTTACTGTCGACAAAACTTAGTTTTCAAGTTTGGGTCATTTTTTCATCATAGTATGCCATTTTTTTTTGTTGATAAATTTGTGAACACACCTAAAATTATTTATTGCTTCCTAAGCACAATGTTTTAAACCAATGATCCCTACAGTGTATGTCACCTCTGACCCATAACATACACCACACACACACACACACACACACACACACACACATTGTAAATGAGGTGTATATTGCCTTCACTTTACTATGTATCCCATTCATATAAAATTAATGGGAAACTAAAAAGAGCCGTGAAAATTTCATTGTTGTCCTATTTGAATTTTCTAATGACACTTAATTCTTAAGGTAATGATTGTGTTAGATGATGGCGAGTTCTACAATAAAATATCCGTAGAAATTCCCAAATCACATCGTTAAATATTTGAGCTTAACGACTTTAACAAAATATTGCATTAACAATCATAAATATGAATGATGGTCGTTGTTTTAAGAAGTAAGGGGGTACAAATGAAAGGATTTGAAATTGACAACTTTTTTCATTTCAATGAAACAGACGTTAAACACTACTATATTCCCTTCTTTCTTTCTTTTACATTTTTCCTCCTCCATAAATGTCTGACTCTTTCTTTCTTTCTTTCTTTCTTTCTTTCTTTTAGATTTTTCCTCCCTCCATAAATGTCTGACTCTTTCTTTCTTTCTTTTTTCTTTCTTTCTTTCTTTCTTTCTTTTACATTTTTTCCTCCATAAATGTCTCACTCTTTCTTTCTTTCTTTCTTTCTTTCTTTTACATTTTTTCCTCCATAAATGTCTCACTCTTTCTTTCTTTCTTTCTTTCTTTCTTTCTTTCTTTCACATTTTTCCTCCCCCGTAAATGTCTCACTCTTTCTTTCTTTCTTTCTTTCTTTAATGTCTCACTGCTTCTTTCTTTCTTTCTTTCTTTCTTTTAGATTTTTCCTCCCTCCATAAATGTCTGACTCTTTCTTTCTTTCTTTCTTTCTTTCTTTCTTTCATAAATGTCTCACTGCTTCTTTCTTTCGTTTTCTTTCTTTCTTTCTTTCTTTCTTTCTTTCTTTCTTTCTTTCTTTCTTTCTTTCTTTTAGATTTTTCCTCCCTCCATAAATGTCTGACTCTTTCTTTCTTTAGTACTTTCTGTCTTACTTCCTTTTTACTCTCTTCATAAATGTCCACTTTTTGTTTGTATATTTGTTTTTTTCTTTTCACGCACAGTTATAGCAGGACAGGAAGATAACAATTTGTAATGTAATATTAATCAATGTTAATCCTAAGCAAACTAAATACGACGTATAAAGAAAGGCTGAGTGGTTGGTGTGTGTAATTTGTGATGACTGATTTCTCAGCCTTTCCGGGCTTGTGTGCAAAGCTCCTATCAAGTGAAAATTATTAGACATGGTTAAGAAAAGTGAAAAGAAATTGTTAGAAATTTTATTCAGTCAAAAAGAAAAAAAAAGAATTTTATGATTAAATTTTTCTCTCGTAAAACTAGCCTCCTTTTTACTTTGATTACTGCAGCAGACATTTTTTGCAGTCATTTCAAAAGTTTCTCTAAATATAAGTTTGATAATTGATTGCATTCTTTTTCAATGACTACTGTCTTTCAATTTCATTGTCTAGTTCATCCCAGGCTATTTCCGGGGTTTGCTTCAAACTCATGAAATGTAGTATATATATATATATATATATATATATATATATATATATATATATATATATATATATATATATATAAAGGAACATAGAAGGCGACAGTCTGTTTCATGCTATATGCAATCGTCAGGCCACCTGATATATATATATATATATATATATAGTGTAACCCGGATATAAGTAATGTGCAGAATTGTGTTCAGGATGATGAAATGGATATCGGCTTGGAATGAGTAAATCGGAGAGCCGAGTTCGAATTCCAGTCGAGATTCGCTTTCGCCAAAATAAGCTTAGGGAAAGGGGTGGTGATTTTTAAGATTTTCATTTTGGCCTTGTGTCAAAAAATATGGCTACCAAATGAGGATTGAACTCCCCACTTAGTCGTTGTTACACTCGGTATATATATATATATATATATATATATATATATATATATATATATATATATATATATATATATAGGTATTGTATACAACGGTATACTATCTAGGAAGAAATGGATTCATAAATTTCCCAATGGAACGCAAGTGAATGTAACAAACTAGACTGGAATTTGAACTCGGCTCTCCGATTCCTCAGTTCATTACACCATCAGCACACCCACAGCTCCACAGCTATGAGTAAATAGTAAGAGGGACTGGGCTCTATAGCCTTGATTGCTAACCAATCTAGGTGATGGACGACTCTGAATTCAAGACCTGACGAGGGTAATTTGGGGGCCTTGTGGCGTACTATGGGCACCGGTTCTCTGTATTCGGTTCTCCCGAAAAGTGTTGCTGGTTCTGCTGAGGACTTCATCGCTATAATTAAATCATACGTGCCGATAGTCTGGCTGTTCGGTTCTAAGAACTGAGATTCCGAATCCTCATGTGTCGAAAACGACGGGGGTGGGAGTCCTGCACTATTGGGAAAGAGAAGAGAAGAGAAAGATTATGACCCACAAATTGTCCAAATATGAAAGGTCAATCCCTTTTTTTATCTATTCTCTCTTATTCCCCCCTCTCTTTCTCTCTGTCTCTCTCTCTCTCTCCTTTTCACCCTTTGTCTTTTAGCTTTTCTTTATCTTCTCTTTGTTAAGAAAATCATCTGGATTCTCATCATCACCATTATGGCCGGGTTTGGCTCTGATAGGTTCACTAAGTACAAGCGATTTGTTTGTTTTTTTTCTCTATATCTACTTTTTTTTTATATAATTCCTTATCCTCTTAAAACGTAGGCGATAATGGCTCTCCACAATTTTCTGTCCTTTTTAGCGCTTCATGAATTGTGAAAGGTAATACATTGTTTTTGTCTCTTCTCCGTCTTTTCTCTCTCTCTCTCCCCCCCTCTCTCTCTCTTTCTCTTCGTCCTTTTTTTATTTCAACAGGTTTATCAACATCATCGTCATCATCAGTCTTAAGGCCGGATATGGCTGTGATATATTCACTAAGTACAAGCGATTTCTTTTCTCGATATCTTCTTTATGCGCCGTGTACCCTCAGGACGTAGACAATCATGGCTCTCCACAACGTCCCTTGTAGCTATTAATAAATGTTCTATTTTTGTACTTAAACCCTATTTCGCCATCCATATACTCAAGCTCACTAAGTATGTTATGCGTTGTTTTCCCACGTCCCTCATGCCTTCAATCTGTCCTGTGAGTATCAGATTTTCCAAGTCCTCCTTCCTCATCATATGCCCTAGAAATTTCAACTGCCTCTGATATTAAGTATACGTTTCCTTTTTGTTTCCCTTTCTCTAAAACTTGGTCATTGCTTAGATCTTCGGTCCATGGCATCCTCAGCATCCTTCTGTAGAACCACATTTCTGTTGCTTCAGATCTCTTCTTCATCTTTGAGGCGATTCTCCAGTATTCACTGCCATATAGGAGGAGGAGGAGTGATGTCACGTAATAGTTCAATACTCTTTTCTTTGTTTCTAACAAAGATTTTTTTCTGTCTCTTAATACTCTGCTTAGCTTTTGGAAAGCATCTTTGGCTATAATAATGTGTCTTCGGATTTCAGTGTCGATGTTTCCGTCCTCTATTAAAACATTTCCCAGATATTTAAATTTTTGTACTTTTTTGATTTTGGTATCTCCGATTTGCAATTTGGGCTCACCCTTTTCTCGATAACCACGCATTCTATCTTCTTGCAGTTGATGTTTAATCTTTTCTTGCTTTTCATCACTAACTTCTACAGGAATTTTTGTAGTTTTTCCGTGTCTGCAATCAACACTGTGTCATCTGTATATCTTACATTGTCAGGATAAAGACTGTTCAAATGAACTGTGGACTCAAGCGTTTACAACCAATGAATTAACCTTTATCAAGGATGTTTTTCGTTTAACTAGATTTTTTTCTCTATATAATAATGGAAACATTAATAATAAAAAAGAGGAATCCATCTATAATATGAATTAATATGAGTAATATGAATTATGAACCTGTTCGCAAATTAAAAAAAAATTCCCATGTTTCACTGAGTCGTGCTAAACAATTTTTCTGTCAAGAATCTATTCTACATAAAGTTTACCATTCGTCCATACTTACAATATTGCTGTCACTTATGGTCCGGTTCCCCTGCTATTTATCTTGTGCTTATTGATAAAATCCAAAGAAGAATCAGCAATATTATTGGTTCTGATCTGGCGGCTCGGCTTTAGTCACTTTCCCACCGTCGTAAGGTTGCGTGTCTGTGTCTTTTCTATAAATACTTTCATGGTAATTCTTCGAGTGACTTCTTCCCTATAGTACCCAGATTTTTTAAAATTTAAGCGCAGTACTAGGTAGGCATCCAGGTCTCATGAATTTACAGGTGAGCTGACGAGATGTTACAGTAAACAGTTTCTTTTCTCACACGTTTCGCTTATGGAACTTACCTGCTATACCCTTATCAGAATATATATATATATATACAAATTACAATTTATATATACATATATATATACATATATATATATATATATATTTATTAAAGACATATTTTTATGTTTAACGTTGTTATTTTATAGATACAAGTATTTAAGCAAATGCTCTGTTTATGATAAACAGTATTAAATAACATTTACCGGCCTGAATGTTTACATTCGATACGCCAGAGCAGTTATGAATGTACGAGATTCATGGAAAGTTGGAGTTTATAAGCAGTAAATTCGACCTTGTCTACCGATTGGTTCTTTGTAGCTTAAGCGGTAAGGCACGTCAGCGTATATGACGGTTCCGTATAGGATGCAGGTTCGAATCCTGTCAAAGAACGAAAATTTTCTATGAAAATTTCTCGGACATTCAGGCCGGTAAATGTTATTTAATACTGTTTATCATAAACAGAGCATTTGCTTAAATACTTGTATCTATAAAATAACAACGTTAAACATAAAATATGTCTTTAATAAATAAATTGTCGGACCTTGTCCATTTCTTAATATATATATATATATATATATATATATATATATAAATTGGAATTCGTATATTTGTGACGCAGCATCACTTTGTGCTGGTCTTTCATCCAATGCTACCATGTCCTTTGCTTCCATGCGTAGGCTGTTGTAACTTTTTGTGGTAGACCCAATCTGTCCTACTATTTAACCCATAGAGAACGGATTCTTTCCCATTTCTATGTAAGTGAATAAAACGAATTCGACTGGGATTCGAACTCGGTCCTCCGATTTTTCATTCTGAGACGCTAACCATTACAACGTCATGTACTCGTATGAGAGCGGTTAATCTACCCCTAAAGAAAAAAGTCGTTTCCTTAAAAAAACGTCTTTTTCACACACGGTTTTTATGGGGTGCATGAAGGCTCTAGAGTGGGTATATTTGTACCTCCAAATAGATTAATTTTTCATATTTCTTAAATTTTCCTTAGTGTTTCACAAGGACAAATAAACTGAGAAATTAGGATACCAAGCAATTTTTTGATGATACCAAAGAAAGGCATTAAGAAAAAAAAAAAAAAAAAAATGGCTAACAAAAAAAGTCAAAAGGACATTTTTCCCCTGACACCGCTTTTATTAAATATCTTCACTAGTGTTTATTATTTCCGTTGTTAATTCTCAAGAAGAAATAAAATGTATAAATTCACTTTCATATGTTTTGATTTTATCACAGTTCTAATAATCGCCTTTTAAAGCAAACATTACCGAAGAGTGAAGGTAGTTAAAATAGAAGCGGTGTCATTGGAAAAAAACGTCCCTTTTGAAACTACGTCTTATGGCGGGCACGAATGTCCATAATTGTCATCATATTTATTCACACTTTTCGGTGCATAGGGTTGCTTTTAGAATCGCCTCACTTGTTCTGAGCATAGATCCAACGATGTTCTGGACGCACACTTTCGAGATTTGGGTTCATACCCCTACTATAGTATTTCGTAATTTGGTTGCTTGCATAACCAGGTTTGTGAGTATCCCTTTTCAGCACAACCAAACTATTCTTTTCAATTGAGATTCAGTGTCTTTCGATCCCTGTTTAACACCAAAATCTCATTACTGTATTATTCCATGAACCAATTTATCACTATTCCTTATTCATA